TCGTGCTTTTAAAGGAAAAGGAAAAAGGAAAAAGGAAGGGAATATTCACATAAAATGGTACCGAGAACTAGAAGGAAGTAGTTATTTGTACAGAATTACTAATTAGTTTAAAAATTGATTATTAATTAAATTTCTTCAAATTTATATCATATTTGATGATCGTGCATGTGAATTATTCAACAGTTGAAACAAATATATATCGCGAAAAAATAATATTTATTACTGATAGAAAAAAGAAAAGTGATGATCGATCGATCCATCCAACAATTAATTATATATAATAAATGGGCATATATATATATATATATATATATATATATATATATATATATATATATATGATATATATATTCTACTGGCAAGCGCACACCCACACGTACACACCAGGTTCGACTTCCTTGAGAGCCCTACCGCATGTCGGGCAGCCACCGCATTTTCCGGCGCAATTCGGCGGCGCCGACCCTTGCAACACCCTCCTCGCCGCTGTGGCGGTGGTTTCTGATTCCTTCAAGCCGTTGTCTGAAGCAGATGATGCATCGATACTCGTGGTCACAATAAGAAACATGCAAAATAAAGCCGGGATCATGAAGCAAATTAGGTTATTTGACTTCATACTGTCAGTGTATCTATATGTGTATGTATATGTATATATGCTCTTCTCTTTGTTGAAATGTACGACTTGTTTGAATGACACTGCAGGTTTATATACAGATAATTAATTAATTAATTAATTAATGTGTCCCGTGATTGTGTTTCCGAAATTATATTATTATTCCCGCTGTGAATCAAGGAAATAATATCTTTGTCAAGATTGGATGATAAAAGGAAATGAGATAATAGTTATTTTAATGGTATTTTATGAAATTGGAGTTCATATTAATGTTTCAATGAGTTGGGATAATTTTGATATATATAAAAATGTTTTTCTTTATTTGCAAATAGGGTCGAATGCGGTGGATTTATTTACAAGACAAAAATGTTGGATGTCTCATTTCTAATTAGACTCTTATCATGGGCCTGTATGCCATTTACTATTAATAAAATTTTGATAGTACAAGTACATTAGTTATAGATTTTTTTTTATTTTCTACCTATACTCAACAATGTACACTGATTAATCTTTAAGTTCATATCACCTTGAGTTGGGAGGATCTGACCATGTTCCGATCTTACTCACGCACCAAAACCCAGAGCTTTCTCGATTGGAGAGAAAAGGTCGACCGTTTCGATTTGAAGCTATATGGATCAGACGGAATGAATGTGAGAATATTATCAAAAACCGTACCAATGGTCCGAGCAGCTGAATAACGACTCAATAGAAGATCTTCTCTCTAAGACGGATAATTGTCATGCGGCGCTCATGCATTGGAGCACGTCTAGCCAAGATACTCCTAGGAAACGTATCATAGAAATCCAAAAACGGCTACACTGTTTGAATATGGGAGGACTTAGGCTGAGGGTTTAATGGAGATCAGAGGAATGACCTACAGTAAGAATTGAAACAATTATACCAGGACCAAGACATTTATTGGAAACAATGGAGTCGGGTACAGACTACAGTGAATAAGAGACGGCGATCGTAATACCGGCTTTTTCCATGCGAATGCTACTATTAGGAAACAAACAAATTGGGTTGACAAGATCAAAGATGACTCGAGAGAGTGGAAGGAAAATAAAGAGGATATTGAACAGGTGATTACAAATTATTTCTTCACGATTTTTCAGTCCGACCATCCAGGAGAAATTGGGTGGGAGGCTAGAATATTTTTTGCAACATATCAAGCCAAGGGTATCAAACAAGGATAGTTAGATCCTTTCACTTTCTCGGCGGATGAGGTAGCCCAAGCCATTACAAATTTTTGGTCCGATTAGTTTATGCAATGTTATTTACAATTTTTGGTCAAAAACCATTACAAATCGTATTAAACCCTTTCTTCAAAACATCATTTCTCCTACGCAGTCGGTCTTTGTTCCCAAACGCCTCATTACTGATATATCATTGTCGCTTATGAGATTAACTATTTTATAAAGTCAAATTCTAAAAAGCATACAAACTACATGGCTGCCAAATTGGATATTAGTAAAGTGTGCGATTGAATCAAATAGTCTTTGTTACGGAAAATCTTATATCACTTTGGTTTCCCACTCTATTTGATTAAATTGATTATGCTATGTGTAACTACGGTGACTTATTTTTTTTCTTTTTAATGGGTGTCAATTCGGCTCGGTTAAACCATCTCGGGGACTCCGCCAAGGGGATCCTCTCTCACCCTATCTTTTCATCATATGCACGGAAGAACTCCTAGCGATGATCCGACAGGCTGAAATCGACAATTCCCTCCAAGGAATTAAAATTGGCCCCTCCGCGCAAACTGTCTCATTGTTTTCTGCAAGGCAACCCCGTCAAATGCTCAAGCCCTTATGAGGATTCTCCACAACTACGCACTAGCATCAGGCCAAAATGTAAATCTGGATCGGATATGATAAATCAACCGTGAGTTTCTGCCGTATGACACAGCCAAAAACCAAGACCATTCAATCCATCTTGGGCTTCCAAACTGTAGAGAGATATGAGAAGTATCTTGGCATGTCACTGGCTATGGGGAGGTCCAAGAAGGCTATTTTTGCGTTTTTACGGAGAGAATGCGAGCTCGTATTAGCGGATGAGGAGAAAGACAACTCTCGAAATCAGGTAAGGATGTTCTTATTAAAGCGATCCTACAATCTATTCATTGTTATCTCATGAGTTGCTTTAGCCTCCCTCTTGGGCTTATTTATGATATCGATTCGGCTATCCAACGGTTTTGGTGGAGTAATTGGAAACCAGGTCCGATGGTTTGGAGTTCATGGATCAAGTTGTACTTTCCAAAGGAAAAATGAGGTATGGGTTCACGCATCTTCGTTCGTGCAATTTGGCTATGCTCGCAAAACAAGTTTGGAGGATGATCACGAACCCGACACGCGTATGTTGAATTTGGATCTTCTCAATTCTACATTATGTCCAGTCTGCCGGAATAGAATCCTCACGACTCCCATAGGCAGTAGGCACGCCAAGGAACGCCTGGTATGGCACTATTCACGTTCATGTCTTTTTACGGTCAAGTCGTCTTGCTATCGTAACACTCTGCAGCGTCATGTCACTAACTGGGGAAATCAAGCTTTCCTCCGGCAGCGAAGACAAATCTTTTTGAAAATTTCTTTGGAGTTTGAGTATTGCTCCGAAAATTAAGATCTTTATTTGGCGGGCAGCGGGGGTATTACAATACCGACCAATGTTGCCCTCTTCCGTCCCCACATCACCTCTAATCCATTTTGTGTAAGTGTGGATCTCAACCCGAGACGACTACACATGCCTTGAGTTATTGCAGGGGTCTGCCAGCGGTGTGGCAAGGTCATCCTTTTGATCTGTGGGCGGAAAATGAGACAACCATATTACGACAGTGATTGGACTGATTACGGAAGAAAATCTCTAAGGAACTTTTCTGCCTGGCACTGGTTATTTACTGGAAATCTTGGGACTCAAGGAACCGAGAAGCGCATGAAATGCCGGGTATAGAAAGCTGCGAATTATGGAGCTGGAGCGAAAATTACCTTAGTATCTACGGGGCTGCATGCTTCGACCCTCCTATGCTAAAGAATCTCGTCCCTCGACTGCAGTGGAGCCCCCCACCTTAAGGTTAATTTTGATGTTGCCCTACCTACATAGAGTCCACATTATAGTGTCTCCATGGTTGCTCGCGACTTTGAAGGAAACACTATTTGGTAGAGTGTTGAATTATTTTCAGGGACTTCATGTAGTTGAAGGAGAAGCTCCTGCCGCCCTCAAAGCAATTCAAAAAGCTTATGATCACGTTTAATTCGTGTAATTTTGCTTTTGTTCCCCGTATTTGTAATAAGCCAGCTCATGCTCTCGTGAACTCTTTGGAGCTTGCTAACTTGGAGTGTTCGATCCTCCCTTCAATTTGGCATCTTTAGCCTAATATAAGCTCGTTGGCTTTTAAAACAAAGGATTAATCTTTATAATTTATATAATTACTTTTAAAGAATTAAGATATTTGAAATTGTTTGTTACATAAAATTACGTTAAAATCAAATAGTTTTTTCTCATTGCTTCGGCCCGTAAATGGGCTTGTAGGCCCGATACAAATTATATTCATAGTCAAACTCTACCACCACCTTCGATAGTTTGAAACTTTTTATCTATATATATATCCCTACGTTAATTTGAAACTTTTTATCTCTCTCTCTCTCTCTCTCTCTCTATATATATATATATATATATATATATATATATATATATATATTACATCTATATATTTTCGCTGTTGTTCTGCCCTTTTAAATCTGAAAATATGAGTCATCTCCTCCCATCAAAACTTGTGTTCAATCGAAAGTTGTATAAAAAAGAAATAATAAAAAACAAGAAGGTATAATTCGTCTTATTTTTTTAGTATCTTTTTTAAGTTAAATTAGGGCTTTTGGATACACCATATTAAAAAAAAAAAAAAAAAAAAAAAAAAAAAAAATCAGGCGTTAATTCTCTGAACATTCCATTCCGTACAAGTTGCTGGAGAATTTGTGTTGCAATATATTCAACCAATTGTGAAAATAAAATAATGGGATAATGTAGTTAAGACTTAATTTTATATCTCTTGTCTACATTGCTTACAAGTCAAGTTGTTTTCGAGTTTTTCGTTTTTTTTTTCTATGTTAAAGTTTCTAGTAATTTTGTTTTCTAGGAATTAATCGTATCGTTTGTCGATGCTGAGTTGGCACCGGCTGATTTTGAACAAGTAGAGGAAGATCAAGATACTGATCTTAAGATGTATACTTCTTGAGCTGATCAAGTCAATTAATTTTTAGTTTTTTTTAGTTTTTTAAATTTTTTTTTTCTGATTAATAATTTGTAGAAATAATGGGCGCAGAATGGAGGTATCTAAAAGTTCATCTCTCAAATTGAGGTACATTCATAAGGTAATTTTCTTTAAATACATTTTATTAAATATGTTATTTATTATTTTATTAACTCTTCAATTTTAATTAAATTAAAAGTTATCTGCATGCATGCATGCAGAACCTATCGCTTGCTAAGAACGAGATGGACCGATTACGCGACGAAAACTCGAAAAGATTGCTACGCGATAGAAAGCTTAGTTTGGTTCTTGATTTAGATCATACGCTCCTCAATTCAGCTGGCTTTTCCCGGATTACGGGTGAAGAAGAATATCTAAATTGCGAAAGAGACGTTTTGCCAGGTTTTTTTTTTTTTTAGCAATTTTTACGGTCCTTTGTTCGAGAATTTTTTCGTATATGAATTATTTTTACCATTTTTTTAATGATCAGAATATTTAAAGAGCAGCCTGTTCAGAGTGCATGGGTCGAAGAGGTTGGTTAAGTTGAGGCCATACGTGAACACGTTCTTGAAAGAAGCTAGTAAATTATACGAGATGCACATATACACTATGGGCGGTTTTTCGTATGCATTAGAAATGGCGAAATTGCTCGACCCCAAAAATATCTACTTCAATTCAAGAATCGTTTCACGAGATGATTCCACACGGAGGTATGAAAAGAGTCTCGACGTTGTTTTGGGGAAAGAAAACGCAATTGTGATCCTTGATGATAAAGAATCGGTATTTCTTTTACTAACTTTTTTTTTAATTCTTAAATCGTACTTGTGATCGATTAATTTGTTCACTGGGAATAGTTTTACCTCGAAGCATGCGATTGATTATTTTTTTCCTCTTAATTTTGATTAATTTATTACTCCATCCTTATTAGGGGAAAAAAGGGTTTATTGCAATTTGTAGCCGTGTGTTATATCGAATTGTTAAAAAATTAACCCATGTTATTTTAGTGGCAAAAAACCCCTGATTCAATTTTTTTAGCACACAACCCCTAAACAGGGCTACTAATTTCTAATAAAATAACATGGGATAGTTTGTTAGCAATTCAACATAACATAGGGGTACTAATTGCAATAAACTCGGGATTTGTTTTTTTAAATGTAATATGATCGTGTTAACGAATATTCGTTTTTTTCAATTTCAGGTGTGGTGCAAGGAGCACAAGGAGAATCTAATAAAAATAGAAAGATATCACTTTTTTGCTCATAGTTGCAAGCGATTTGGAGTCGACCATAAATCGCATTCTCAATTAAAAAGTGACGAAAACGAGTCCGAAGGCGCATTGGCTACTAGTCTTAAAATTCTTCAACAGATCCATACTTTGTTCTTTGACATGGTATGTATTTAAGTAATTTATTACATTTAAATCAGCTTATTTAAGAGAAATTTTAACCGATGAAGTTTCTATTTAATTGGATTATTTTTCTTAAAATTAATTTTCTTCGTTCAGGGGCAGAAAGATAGTCTAGAGGACCGGGATCTGAGAAAGGTATATTAATTTGCGTCCGATGCCTTAGTGTGTATATATATATATATATATATATATATATATATATATATATATATATATATATATATATATCGATAAATTTGATTTTGTTGCAGGTGCTGAAAAGTGTACGAAAAGAAGTCGTAAAAGGGTGTAAAGTAGTGTTTAGTGATGAAATCAGCGATTAATCACATGTGCCGATAGCAGCGAGAAGAAAATTTCCCCGCTCGTCCACCGACATAGAATTTTTTGTTTTACGAACAAAGTGCATTAACTTATGAAATTATAGTAGCAAATGCTTACATAGCTCGTTACGCTGAATATGTTTTTCGTGTTTGGCCCAAAAAGGGCTTGTCGGGTCTATGTGAATTCTTGCAACTATACTATATTTTAAGTTTAACGAACTACTAATTTATCAAGTTTTCCGCAAGTTCGGCCGATTAAAAATATAATTTAAATAAAATATTAAAAATTACAAGCACTTTGAGAAAACTCCCTCAGTACTTATTTTAATGGAGAGAGGTCCAAATATTTTTCTCCATTTGAGAAAAGCCCAAACCCATTTTTAGCTATTATATTTTTCAGTTTTGCCCCTGCCAGCCATATCATCACTGCGTCACGCGCTGTTTTTTTTCTCCCTCTTTTATGTATAATTTTTATTAATCGACTATAAAGCATAGTGGATTAAGGAAATTCTTTAAAAAAAAAATGGTTTTTTTTTTCTATATCAGGTATATTAATCACTATGATGAAGCATAGCCGATTAAGAATCTACTACTAAGAATAACAAATCAGAACTGCAAAAAAACAAATGCAATATCAACTATATTTTACAAAAATACAAACATTATAATTGATTTATACAATTGGAATCAATAAACAAAAAATCCAAAAAATAAAAAAATTGGAGTCAATCAACCTTAATCGACTACCAGGGCATAGTCGATTAGCTTAATCGACTATTGAACATGTACATAGTCGACTAAGATTCTAGTTTGCTCGAAGTTCTCTACACGCGCCGTCCTCCGCCCCCATCCACCAAAAAATTCTAAATATGCCTCCCCATCGTCACCACACCGTCGCACCACACTATTCAACCAATCTATAACAAGAATAAAATAAATAAATAAATAATTCATAAAAAAAACACAAATTAGCATTTCAATATCCATAAAAAAAAAAAAAACAAAAAACAAAAATGAACGGTTCAAAGGTATTTGTCAACCATTGTTGGTCACTCCATAAACAATTTATGAGCACATGACAAACCAACACTAAATGAGTAAAAAAAACAAAAAAATAAAAAAATAAATACCTTCATCAACAATTTCCGTTGATTCTCCTCCGACGAGTGCTTCCTCTTCTTTCTCAACAGCATGTTCCTCTTCTTCCTCCACACGCCGACGGGGTGGAACATGCTGTTGAGAAAGAAGAATGCTTCTCCTCCACACGCCGACGACGAGTGCTTCCACTTCTTTCTTTATCCATCTTTCGGCGGCGGCGGTGACGGCGGGGAGAAGATTTATCAGAGAAAACAGAGAGAAAAAAAAAAAAAAAAAAAACAGAGAAGGGAGAAAGACGAGAAAGCGGAATGGATAATAAAAAATAAGATTAGGGTTTTGAAAGAGTATAATAGATAATTAAAGATAGTTTTGAAATTATGAAAATATCACTTGGGTGGAATATTAGCTAAGGGGATTTTCTCTAATTATTTTTAGGAGGGGGTGTTTCCTTAACTATATTTCCTAGATGGAGGGTTTTCTCTAATTTTCCCTAAAAATTAACAACACAAAATCAACCAAAAGGGTTCAAGCAACTAATGCAACATCTATTGATAACCGCAATATTTACGAGATGCAATTCCACATCCTTTATTCTGCAGTATGTTTTTTCTGCAGGAAAGATTGATTACCTTAATAGAAGCTATAATATGATAACTTAGTAACAAGAATCTCCCAAAAACAAATGGTACTACAATATATAGCTCTAGTTCAAGTAATTAAATTATGAGAAAAAAGACAAGTAAAGAAGAAAACAAGTGACTTAACATCTCGGGGACTCCGCCAAGGGGATCCTCTCTCACCATATCTTTTCATCATATGCACGGAAGCGCTCCTGGCGATGATCCGACAGGCTGAAATCGACAATTCCCTCCAAGTAATTAAAATTGCCCCCTCCGCGCAAAGTGTCTCATGTCTTTGCTTTGCCGACGATACCATTATTTTCTGTAAGGCCGCCACCCCGTCAAATGCTCAAGCCCTTCTCCACAACTACGCACTAGCATCGGGCCAAGATGTAAATCTGGATATGATAAATCAACCGTGAGCTTCTGCCCTATGACACAGCCAGAAACCAAGACCACCATTCAATCCATCCTGGGCTTCCAAACTGTAGAGAGGCATGAGAAGTATCTTGGCATGCCACTGGCTATGGGGAGGTCCAAGAAGGCTATTTTTGCGTTCTTACAGGACCGAATGCGAGCTCGTATTGACGAATGGGGAGAAAGACAACTCTCGAAACCAGGTAAGGAAGTTCTTATTAAAGCGATCCTATAATCTATTCATTGTTATCTCATGAGTTGCTTTAGCCTCCCTCTTGTGCTTATTTATATATGATATTGAGTCGGCAATCCAACAGTTTTGGTGGAGTAATGGGAAACCACGTCCGATGGTCTGGAGTTCATGGATCAAGTTGTACTTTCTAAAGGAAAAATGAGGTATGGGGTCCAGGCATCTTCGTTCGTTCAATTTGGATTTGGATTTGGATCTTCTCATTTCTACGTTCTGTTCAGTCAGTCGAAATAGAATCCTCACGACTCCCATAGGCAGCACGTGCACGCCAAGGATCGCCTGGTGTGGCACTATTCACGTTCCGGTCTTTTTACGGTCAAGTCTTGCTATCATAGCACCCTGCAGCGTCATGTCACTAACTGTAGAAATCAAGCTTTCCTCCGGCAGAGAAGACAAATATTTTTGGAAATTTCTTTGGAGTTTGAGTACTATTGCTCCGAAAATTAAGATCGTCTTTATTTGGCGGGCTGCGGGGGATATTAAACCGACCAATGTTGCCCACTTTCGTTGCATGCCACATCACCTCTAGTCCATTTTGTGGTAAGTGTGGCTCTCAACAAAACAACTACCCATGCCTTGATTTATTGCAGGGGTCTGCCAGTGGTGTGGCAAGGTCATCCTTTTGATCTTGGAGACAACCACATTTCGACAGTGGCTGGACCGACTACGGAATGTTAAATCGACCAATGTTTCCCTCTTCCGTCGCCATATCTCTAAGGAGCTTTTCTGCCTAGCACTGGTTATTTGCTGGAAATCTTGGGACTCAAGGAACCGAGAAGCGCATGGAGAGCCGGGTATAGAAAGCTGCGAATTATGGAGCTGGAGCCAAAATTACCTTAGTATCTACCGGGCTGCATGCTTCGACCCTCCTATGCCAAAGAATCTCGTCCCTCGACTGCACTGGAGCCCCCCACCTACCGGAACTATTAAGGTTTTAGTTTTGATGCTGCCCTACCTACACCACGTCCACATTATATAGTAGCGTTACAAAACAATGAATTATTCGTGACAATAATTATAATTCGTTACCATAGACTACTTATTGTGACAAATTTTACAATTGTTACCATTGTTTCGTTATTTAAAAGCTCTTTTTTTGTAGTGATAGAGTCTCCATGGTATTTGTAATAAGCCAGCTCATGCTCTCGCGAACTCTTTGTAGCTTGCTAACTTGGAGGGTCCGATCTACCCCTCAATTTGGCATCTTTTATAAGATTTACATAGTACAATGAAACCAGACACACTTTTCATTCACATACTATGTGTGTATAAATAGTTACAGAAGACTTGATCTAGAGATGAGCTGTACATACAATTATGGTGCTGAATTTCAGCAAATAATTAGAGGCTGGAATCTTGTGATTCATCCGTTACAAATCAGCTGGTCAAAGGGCTAAACGCAAGCCTTGATTCTTTTCCTTTACACGACCCCTCAAGATGGAGGTGCCATCAGTAACTCCAATCTTGGAAAGTAGCCATTGATGTCGTAACCGGCTCATTGGCTTTGTGAGAAGGTCCGCTAGCTGATCAGTGGTGTGAACGTGAGATACACTGAGTAAGCCTTTGGTAACATAGTCACGGACAAAGTGCAGGTCAATTGCTATATGTTTCATCCGAGAGTGATGTACGGGGTTCAAGCTTAACTGAGTAGCACCAATATTGTCACATAACAGAGAAGGAGGGGCACGAAGGTTAACCCTCAGTTCACGAAAGAGGGACTGCAGCCATGCAATTTCTGAGGTAGCCGTGGCCAAGGCTCGATATTCAGCCTCTGTGGATGATCGAGCAATAGCACGTTGTTTTCGGGTACTCCATGAGATTGGGCTAGTACCAAGAAAGATCACATAAGCCGAAGTGGAAGACCGATCATCCCTATTTCCGGCCCAATCAGCATCGGAGTAGGCACGAAGGTCCATCGAGACTGACTTATTGATTAAGATACCATAATTGACGGTTCCTTTAAGATAGCGAAGTAGACGTTTTGCGGCTGTCCAATGCGGTTTATGCATGAACTGTGCAAGTTTGTTGACGGCGAAGGCAATGTCTGGCCGCGTTAGTGACAAATATTGAAGAGCACCAATTACCCGTCGATATTCAGTTGAGTCCACAGAGGGTGTGCCGTCATTAAGATGAAGAGGAGTGGAGGTGCACATAGGTGTGCAAACATCCTTAGCTCCCTCCATCTTGGTTTTGTTCAGCAAATCTCTAATGTACTTGTGTTGAGTTAAAAAGATACCAGACGAGGTGGGAAGGACTTCAACACCAAGAAAATAGTGAAGATTGCCAAGATCCTTGAGCGAAAATTTTGTCCCTAGTTGATGAATGACGTGCTGAATAAAAGCGGGTTTGTTGCCGGTAATGATTAAATCATCCACATAAACCAAGAAGTAAGCCAGTACGTCATCTGAACTATAGATGAATAGGGAAGAATCAGCCCGAGAGTTGCTAAAACCTATAAATAGCAGAAAATCCTTGAGAGCGTGGTACCAGGCACGTGGCGCTTGCTTAAGTCCGTATAGCGATTTTCGTAACCGGCAAACAAATGAAGGATGGGCAGCATCAACAAATCCAGGTGGTTGGGTCATATAAACATCCTCTTCGAGTGAGCCATGTAGGAATGCATTATTGACATCAAGTTGACGAATAGACCATCGTTTTGTTACCGCTAAAGCAAGAACACTGCGAATAGTTGCGGGTTTTACAACTGGACTAAAAGTCTCCTTGAAATCTATTCCTGGACGTTGGTGAAATCCCTTAGCCACAAGGCGAGCTTTGAATCTATCAATTGCGCCATCAGCATTGTACTTCACTCTGTAAACCCACTTGCACCCGATGAGATTGTAACGAGAATTGTGTGGAACAAGATCCCAAGTTCCGTGTCGAACTAAAGCTGTAAACTCATCAGCCATGGCCTGACGCCAACGAGGATCCTTTAAGGCTTGGGACAAGCAAGTCGGCTCAATAGACGGCGGTAACGGGTGTTTGCTCACAAGAAATAATTGTTTAGGTCTGAAAACATTATTCATTGACCGTGTGGTAATGGTGCGAACCCGAGGCAAATCTGAATGAGTAGTATTGGTGCTTCTATCTGAACCATCAACATTGTTTTGAGGCACAACATCACGATTGTCAAGAGTCGGCAATTGTTGTGGTAAAGGAACAGACATAGTGGAACCATCTGTAGTGGGGCTAGAAGTATCAGATGTAGAGGAAGACAAAACTCGAGGCGATGGAGGAGTGCCTCCCTGAACGCTGATGAACGTTGGCCCTGCTGGTCCCGTAGTATGCTCAGTCAGTGCTCGTGTGGATGACTCTTGGTTAGAACAATTTTCAAAGTGAAACAAGTTGTTTTTAGCAAAAGGAAAAATAGTTTCATCGAACAAAACATGACGGGATGTATATAATTTTTTAGATACGGGATCATAACACAGATAAGCACTTTGACTAGTAGAATAGCCAACAAACACACAAGGAAGAGACTTCGACTGTAATTTGTTTGTACTATATGGACGAAGCCATGGATAACATAGACACCCAAAAATGCGAAGTTTTGTGTAATTTGGTGAGCAATGAAAGATGGCTTGAAAAGGGGACTTATTGTTTAATATGGGGGTAGGCAACCTGTTTATTAGGTAGACTGCCGTTAGCATGGCATGTGACCAATAGGTGTCAGGAAGATTAGCTTGATGGAGGAGAGTTTTACCGGTTTCTACAATGTGTCTATGTCGTCGTTCCGAAGTACCGTTTTGCTCTAGAGTATGTGGGGCAGAAGTGAGATGACTAATGCCATGATTTGACAAATATGGACGAAGAGCGACAAATTCTCCACCAGTGTCTGTGTAAAGATGTTGAATCTTGGTCGTAAAACGATTTTCTACAATTTTGTGAAATTTGGAGAATATCGTTAAAACATCAGATTTGAGACGCAACAAATATAACCAGACATATTTAGTATGATGATCAATAAAAATGACATAATAACGATGACCATCAATTGAAGGGGAGGGAGTTGGTCCCCATACATCAGAGTAAACATACTCAAGAGGCTTAGTGCTAATAAGGCTTGAACCGGCAAAAGGTAACTTATGTAATTTATTGCATGAGCAAGAGGTACACAAGGAAGATGACGACGGCATAGAAATGACAGGTAAGGTAAATGTTTTAACTAACTGGTTAACAATTTTGGGAGAAGGATGACCGAATCTATTATGCCAACCATTAAGAGATGTACGAACACTGACATGAGCTTGAATAGAGGATCCAGAGAGCTGTAGATCAACAGGAAAGGGGTATACACCACTCTCACATCGGCCTTGAAGAAGAGTCATCCCCGTGGTCCGATCCTTCACAAGAAAAAAAAAAGGGTGAAATTCGAGATACACATTATTAACTTTAGTAAAGTGATGAACGGAAATAAGATTTTTGCTAATTTGTGGAACACAAAGTGTATCGGTTAGGACAAATTTTTTGTTAGAGGATTTTAAATTCATCGACCCAACATGCGTGACTTTCAAACCTGACCCATCACCAATTTGAACTTCGTCTGTACCGTCATATTCAGGATTGATGGTCAGTTTGGTCATGTCAGAAGTAATGTTGTGAGATGCTGCGGAGTCGACGAGCCAAGGTTTCTCTTTTCCTCTTGCTGCGGATGTGTAGTTGGCAGTGGCATGTGATGAGCGAAATAAGGAGCATTGTTTCGCAATGTGACCAGAGTTGTCACATATCTGGCAGAAAATAACTTTTTGTCCAACGTTGTGATTTCGGCGATAACCTCTTTGAGAATATTGTCGATTGTTGGAAGAGTTGTTCCTTGGATAATCCTTCTTTTGTTTGGATTTGTTGTTATTCCATCGTTGGGTTGAATGTGCTGTAACAACTTGAGAGGTGTTGTTTGATTCCAATCTCTTCAAATAAGATTCATGACCAACAAGAAGATCATGTAGTTCTTCAAAAGACAAGGCAGTTTCTCGAGCACGAATTGGGGCAGCGATGTCGCGAAAATCAGGACCAAGACCATGAAGAACATAGAGGGTGATATCATCGGCTGACAGAGGACGATCAATTGCAGCAAGCTCATCAGAAAGTGACTTGATGGCATGAAGAAATTCGGACACCGTCCGACTTCCACGCTGCATGAGAGTGAGCTCTTCCTTGAGTTGCATCACACGAGTTCGGGATTTACTCGCGTAGAGGCGAACAAGTCGAGACCAAGCTTCAGTCGAAGTTTGAGATGTCGCAATCATTGGCATGATGGACTCTGAAACCGAGGCAAAAATTGCATTGAGAAGAAGCTTGTCTTGACGAACCCAAATTAAATGGGTGGTAATGTCTTCAGTGGAAGAGGCACTGGATATAGGTGGGCAAGAATGAGTCCCATCAATGTATCCAATGAGATCGTAGCCGATTAAAAGAGACTCGAATTGAGCCTTCCAAGAAGGGTAATTGGAGGGTGTGAGTTTCCATGGTAACTGTGAGGCGGCGTTAATTGCAATTAACTGAGACATGGTGGGTGAAGAAACGGGGTTGGTGGGTGAAGACATTTTGCGGAAGTAAGGTTTGGATCAATTCTCGTGGGAGAGAAAAACTCGTGATACCATATAAGATTTACACAGTACAATGAAACCAGACACACTTTTCATTCACATACTATGTGTGTATAAATAGTTACAGAAGACTTGATCTAGAGATGAGCAGAAGACTTGATCTAGAGATGAGCTGTACATACAATTATGGTGCTGAATTTCAGCAAATAATTAGAGGCTGGAATCTTGTGATTCATCCGTTACAAATCAGCTGGTCAAAGGGCTAAACGCAAGCCTTGATTCTTTTCCTTTACATCTTTACCCTAATATAAGCTCGTTGGTTTTAAAAAGAAAAGATTAATCTTTATATAATTACTTTTTAAGAATTAAGATACTTGAAATTGTTTGTTACGTAAAATTACGTTTAATCAAATAGTTTTTCCTCATTGCTTAGGCCCGAAAATGGGCTTGTAGGCCCAATACAAATTATATTCATTGTCAAACTCTACCACCGCCTTCGTTAATTGGAAACTCTTTCTCTCTCTCTCTCTCTCTCTCTCTCTATATATATATATATATATATATATATGTTACATCTATATATATGGGGTAGACCGCTGAATCTCTCTCCCACTTTTATTTTCGCTTTTGTTCTGCCCTTTTAAATTCTGAAAATATGAATCTCTTCCGATCAAAACTTGTGTTCTATCGAAAGTCGTATAAAAAAGAAATAACAAAAAAGAAGAAGAAGGTATAACGTTAAAAATCTTAATTTCAAGATTAGGGTTTTTTTTTATTATTATCTTTTTTAGGATACTTATAATCAGGGGTTAATTCTCTGAATATTCCCTACAAGTTGCTGGAGAATTTGTGTTGCAATATATTCAACCAATTCTGAAAATAAAATAAAATAATGGACTAATGTAGTTAAAGACTTAATTTTATATCTCTTGTCTACATTGCTTACAAGTCAAGTTAGTTTTCGAGTTTTTCGTTTTTTTTTTATTCTATGTTAAAGTTTATACTTTATAGTAATTTTGTTTTCTGAATGGCGTTGACAGATGAGTACTATAGCAGATGAATTATTCGCATCGTTTGTCGATTTTGAACAAGTAGAGGAAGATCAATATATTGATCTGAAGAGGTATATATATATATTTATATATATATACTTCTTGAGCTGATGAAGGATCAATTAATTTTATGTTTTTTTAATTTTTTTTCTTTTTTTAAATTTTTTTTTTCTTCTGATTAAGAATTTGTAGAAATAAAAGGCGCAAACTGGAGGTATCTAAAAGTTCATCTCTCAAATTGAGGTACATTCATAAGGTAATTTTCTTTAAATACATTTTATTGAATATGTTATATATTATTTTATGAACTCTTCAATTTTATTAAATTAAAAAGTTATCTGCATGCATGCATGCAGAACCTATCGCTTGCTAAGAACGAGATGGACCGATTACGCGACGAAAACTCGAAAAGATTGCTACGTGATAGAAAGCTTAGTTTGGTTCTTGATTTAGATCATACGCTCCTCAATTCAGCTGGCTTTTCCGTGATTACGGATGAAGAAGAATATTTAAATTGCGAAAGAGACGTTTTGCCAGGTCTTTTTTTTTCTTTTTTTTTTTTTGTTTTAGCAATTTTTACGGTCGTGTGTTTGAATTCGTATACGAATTATTTATACCAGTATTTTAAATGATCAGAATATTTGAAGAGCAGCCTGTTCAGAGTGGACTTGACGAAGACGTTGACTAAGTTGAGGCCGTATGTGAACACATTCTTGAAAGAAGCTAGTAAATTATACGAGTTGCACATATATACTATGGGCGGTTTTTTGTATGCTCTAGAAATGGCGAAATTGCTCGACCCCGAAAATATCTACTTCAATTCAAGAATCATTTCACGAGATGATTCCACACGGATGTTTGAGAAGAGTCTCGACGTTGTTTTGGGGAAAGAAAACGCAACTGTCATCCTTGATGATAGTGAATCGGTATTTCTTTTACTAACTTTTTTTAATTCTTAAATCGTACTTGTGATCGATTAATTTGTTCACTAGGAATAGTTTTGCCTCGAAGCATGCGATTGATTCTTTTTTCCTCTGATTTTTGATAATTTTTTGCTCGATAGTTATTAGGGGAAAAAAAAAGGGTTTATCGCAATTAAATAGTACCCGTGTGTTATATGGAATTGCTAAAAAATTAACCCATGTTATTTTAGTCGCAAAAAAAAAACCCTATGATTCATTTTTTTTAGCACACAACCCCTAAACAGGGCTACTAATTGCTAATAAAATAACATGGGATAGTTTTTTAGCAATTCAACGTAACACAGGGGGTACTTATTGCAATAAACTCGGGATTTGTTTTTTAAATGTGATACGATCGTGTTAACTAACATTCGTTTGTTTTCAATTTCAGGTGTGGTGCAAGGAGCACAAGGAGAATTTAATAGTAATAGAAAGATATCACTTTTTTGCTAATAGTTGCAAGCAATTTGGAGTCGACCATAAATCGCATTCTCAATTAAAAAGCGACGAAAACGAGTCCGAAGGCGCATTGGCTAATAGTCTTAAAATTCTTCAACAGATCCATACTTTGTTCTTTGACATGGTATGTATTTAAGTGATTTACATTTAAATCAACATATTTAAGAGAAATTTTAACTGTATTTAATTGGCTTACTTTTCTAAAATTTAATTTGCTTCAGGGGCAGAAAGATAGTCTAGAGGACCGGGACCTGAGAAAGGTATATTAATTTGCGTCCAATGCCTTACTATATATATTTGTTTCGTTTGTGATTGTTAGTAAATATATCGATAAATTTGATTTTGTTACAGGTGCTGAAAAGTGTACGAAAAGAAGTCGTAAAAGGGTGTAAAGTGGTGTTTAGTGATGAAATCAGCAATTAATTACATGTGCCGAAAGCAGCCCGAAGAAAAATTTCCCGTTCGTCCACCGACAAAGAATTTTTTGTTTTACGAAGAAAGTGCATCAACTTATGAAATTATTGTAGCAAATGGTTACATATGCTGAATAGGTTTTTTCATGTTTGGCCCGAAAAGGGCTTGTCGGGTCTACGTGAATTCTTGCAACTATACTATATTTTAAGTTTAACGAAATTACTAATTTATCAAGTTGTCTCTGAGTCAGCCGATTAAAAATACAATATTAGTAGTACTAATATTAGTATTATTATTAATACTAATACTAATACTAATGCTAATATTAATACTAGTACTAATACTAATACTAAATTTAATGGTAAAACAAACAAGTCGGTTTACCCATTTCATCTAAGGTTATTATTTAGGGTCCATTTGATATACACCCCTCATATGGAAAATATATAGGCATAGGTCCACCCCTAAAAATCTTTCTTTGAGATACACCCCTGGAGAGGCAAAAGTACTATTGTGCCCTTATTTGCAATTTTCGCCCAACTGCATTCAGCATTTTCACCAACTGTATTTATCATTTTGAACCTGCATTTAATATTTTTGTACTGCATATATCTTAATTTTTAATTTAATATTTTTTTATTCCTGTACATATATTGTACCTTTTTTTTATTAGTAGTATATTTTTTTATAAAATATATTTTTTTTAATATTTCGATTTTTTTAATATTTCGATTTTTTTAATATTTCAATTTTTTCAATATTTCAATTTTTTAAATTTTTAAATTTTTTTTTAATTTTTTTAATTTTTTTTTTATTAATTCAAATTTTAGTAAAATTCCTGAACTGAAAGTATAGTTATATATAGTCATGTATTCTCTTTTTACCCCAAAATTCATCTACACTAATAAATAAAATTCACAATTTAGATCTTGATATTATAAATCAACTAACAAACAAAAAATAAAAAAAATACAATCACATGCATATATTCTTCAAACATGAACACATTAAAAAACCTATAACATACATATAACTATATGTTACTACAGGTGACTATAGTTATCTACAATTATCTATATTAATATATAGTGACATAAAGTCTAGACTACTGTAGCATGAATCCAACTTCATTAGGCACTTCATCGCATCTTATTCCCTGAATGTCATAAAAGCATAATAAAAGCAAAACCTGCGACAAAAAAATACAAGTTAAAGAGCAAAATGGAACATGCGAGTTAGATTACATGAAAAATACAAAAAAAACATAATTTTTTTTTGTTGATAAATTTACTTAACTGAATATATATGACTATATATGACTGTAATATATGACTATATATGACTACATATGACTGTAATATATGACTATATATGACTGTAATATATGACTATATATGACTACATATGACTGTAATATATGACTGTAATATATGACTATATATGACTACATATGACTGTAATATATGACTATATATGACTGTAATATATGACTATATATGACTACATATGACTGTAATATATGACTATATATGACAGTATTATATGACTGTATTATATGACAGTATTATATGACAATATATGACTACATATGACTGTATATGACTACATATAATTGTATATTCACCTGACTCAAATCACCCATTTAAACATTTACATTATAAATCAACTCATAACCAACAAAACACACAAGCATATGCATATGTTACTACATATTACTATATATTGTTATAAATTTGAAATTTGTTGTCATAAAATGGAACATGATTTGTGAGCCAGCAGAACACCAAAGACTAAAGCTGCATAGTCAACAATACCGTATTTGTGACTACTTCGGCAACAATAACGGCCAAGTCCTACTTCTACCTCAATTTCAATCATTGAAGAAATCTGAAAATTTTGTACATCATAGTTATGCATTATTCATGACCTATAGTCCAAAAAGAAATTCATGTTATTTAGAAGCAAATTAACGACAGCATACTCTAGCATAGTTTTCAATCAGTTCAATGCATTCGTGAGGAAATTCTTCAAATCATTTGTGGACCAATTTGACTCTATTTTTTCTAGAACTAAATCAAAGTAAAAGTCATTTATATTCATAAAAAGGGGAGGGGATATGACATAGGAGAGAAAATAGCTAAAACCTGCAACTGGATGGCTTCAGATCTTGGCGGCGGCGACGGACTCGACAATGGCTCCGAATCCGTGTACACCCTTAATCGTCTCCTAGCCACGGAGATGGAAGATAGATCGGACAGATCTGGCGAGAGAGTTAGAGAGAGGGAGAGAGGGGCGGGAGAGATGTACAGGTTGTGGATCGAGCACCGCCGTGTACGCCGGGAAAGAGGCCGAAGAGCGATTGTGCTGCTAGAAGGTTACGCCCCATTTGGCCGGTCGAGATGGTAGGCCTGGAGGGTGAGGTTTTTGATCTCCTCGATGAATTCGTTCACGTCGTTACAGAAGAGAGATGGGAGAAAATAGCAGATGAAAGGGAGACGGCGTGAGCCGCGCTTTGAGGGGGATGGGTTGTGGATTGAGAGAAGTTAGGGTTTGGGTGGAGAGAAGTTAGGGTCTGTGGCCTTATTTCATAACAACGGCCCATTGGGGGTACAATAGTCACATCACTATGTCCAGGGGGTCTACCTAATTAAGATCAAAATTTGGGTTTTTGGCTAGAGCTGAAAAAAACATTGGACCTCCTCATATATATTTTCAAAAGTAGGGGGTTATCACTCATTTACCCTATTATTTATGTGTTTGAGTAAAAAAAAATATCAAGAAAAGAGGGGAAAAAACAAAAAATAGCAATAAAAAATTCACATTTTGACACAATTTAACAAAATTAGCTACAAATTCAAAGATCCTTCCTGTAGTTGGAGTAAAATCAATATCGGAGTCACTCCGTGCGCGGCACCTTCGAGCGAACAACTCTGGAATGTGCGGCTTCATATTTTTTTACGATTGGGAGTGGGTTTACGCGATTGAATGATAATTTGGGATTGGATGGCTAGGGTTTACAGAATGAGGAGTGAAATGAAAATTGAGAATTGGGGGAGCGAGTTAGATATTTAGGAATTGAGTTTAGATCTTCTGATTTGTGTGCCAGATTAACGTTCGACTGCCATATATCACTTCACATCATGTTTTTCGGTCAGATCTAGTCAAAAATCCTTCTTACTGTCCTCATCCCCAGAGTTCCCTATCTTAAGAGGGGAAAAGGATTCAAATCTTCCTCCTTTTCAACTTCCAATCAAAATCCAAATATACTTGACTAGCGCTAGCGCAAGGATAAACGATTTATCAGTCGGACACGATGCCTATGACGCATGGGTCTTTGACGAGCAGAATGAAGACAGCTGCCTTACAGGAGCTAGAGAGGAAGGGCTCATTTTCCCCCAGAATCACCGAGATAGAAGAGGAAAGGCTCGTTGCTACTCTCTGGGGATGTGTACATAGGAGAGCTATTCAGGCTTACGCATAATTTTTCGACTTAGGGTGTAAGCCATGTCGACTTTTTACGGCAGATCGACATTGCATGCACCACACGTGATATTCCTGTCTAAGTTGACTGACGAATTTGATGACCGAACATAAATCCTTAAAAGTGACATATTCGAGGACATATTTTGTGGATAATATGGAATATATGGAGTCTAAGTTAATTTTATTGTAAAAAAAAAAAAAAAAAGAGAGAGAGACAATCAAATATTTTTTTCTCATAGGTCGGGCCCGTGAATGGGCTTGTGGGCCCAATAAAAAAATAATTTAAATCGTTAAACTGTACCGCGTTGTTTGGAAACTTTGTATGTATATATATAAATCCCTTCCGATCGAAACATGTACCTATATGCTCGTATATTCACTCCCCCCCCCCTACATCGAATATTCTATCAAATATAATTAAAAAACAAAGGTAACTACGTTTTTAGGAATTTTGTGGAAAATCATAATTTCAAGATTTGGGTTTTCGCCAATCCTTTTTTTAAGTACTTCTTTAAAACATAAATTAGGGCTTTTGGATACAGCATATGCATTGCAATTGGGATTTTACTTGGTCAACGAATTTTGAAAATTTTGATTAAAAACAAATAATTAGGGTTACTGCTTTCAGGTTCGAAGAACTAGAAATAAGTTTTTTTTTTTTTTTTTTTTTTTTAAATGCAAGAACTAGAAATAAGTTAATTCTCGGAATATTCTAGAGAAAGAATTTGAGTATTGTTGGAGAACTTTGGTTTATTATAGTAAAAATTGTGCATAAGGAAAAACAAAAATTAATGTTATTAAGACGAATGTTGTCTACATTGCTTACAAGTCAAATTATTTCGAGTTTTTTTCCGTTTTTTCTATGTTAATGTTTTCTATTAATTTGTTTTCTGAATGGATTGACAGAGAGATGAGTACTATAGCAGAGGAATCACTCGTACACTTGTCAAGTATCGAAGATTCCGTATCGCTTCTCAATGCTGAGTTGGCATCGGCTAATTTTGAAGATGTCGAGGAAGATCAAGATACTAATCTCCAGAGGTATACTTTGGCTAATGAAGTTAATTGCTTTTACACGTCACGTTACGGATCACCATACTTCGATTTTTATTTTTTAATTTTTTTATTTTAATAATTTGTAGAATTAAAAGTTCGTGTCTCGGGGAACCGACACCAATTTCAGGTAATGCGTTCGTGGTTAGTTGGAATTTTAATTTATCTTAGTAAAAGGTAATTACAATTGAAAAACGAGTTCGTGCCTTTAATATCGAATGCAGAGTGTAAAGATCATGTTCCTTTCGGACGATTGTGCCTAAAGTGTCATGTGCTAATAAATGATGACGGTGTTGCATTGAGGTACATTCATAAGGTAATTTTCTTTAAATACATTTTATTAAATCTGTTCTATATTATTTTATTAACTCTTCAATTTTAATTAAATTAAAATTTATCTGCATGCATGCACGCAGAATCTGCCGCTTGCTAGTAACGAGATGGACCGATTACGCGACGAAAACTCGAAAAGATTGCTACGCAATAGAAATCTTAGTTTGGTTCTTGATTTAGATCATACACTCCTCAATTCAGCTGACCTTTCCGATATTACGAGTGAAGAAACATATTTAAATTGCGAAAGAGACGTTTTGCCAGGTTTTTTTTTTCTCTTTAACAATTTATAATACGGTCCTTGGCTTGAGAAATTTTTCGTATATGATTTTTTTTTACGACTATTTTTTTTAAATTATCAGAATATTTAAAGAGCAGCCTATTCAGAGTGGATACGATGAAGATGTTGACTAAGTTGAGGCCGTACGTGAACACGTTCTTGAAAGAAGCTAGTAAATTATTCGAGTTGCACATATACACTATGGGCGATCGTTCGTATGCATTAGAAATGGCGAAATTGCTCGACCCCGAAAATATTTACTTCAATTCAAGAATCATTTCACGAGATGACTCCACACGGATGTTTGAGAAGAGTCTCGACGTTGTTTTGGGGAAAGAAAATGCAACTGTCATCCTTGATGATAGTGAATCGGTATTTTTTTTTACTAACTTATTTAATTCTTAAATCGTACTTGTGATCGATTAATTTGTTCACTAGGAATAGTTTTGCCTCGAAGCATGCGATTGATTATTTTTTCCTCTTAATTTTGATTAATTTATTACTCGATCGTTATTAGGGGAAAAAAGGGGTTTATTGCAATTAGTAACCGTTTGTTATATCGAATTGCTAAAAAATTAACCCATGTTATTTTAGTGACAAAAAAACCCATATAATTCATTTTTTTAGCACACAACCCCTAAACAGGGGTAATTGCTAAAAAAATAGATCATATGGGATTTTTGCTAATAAAATAACATGGGATAGTTTTTTTAGCAATTCAACATGACACGGGGGTACTAATTGCAATAAACTCGGGATTTGTTTTTTAAATGTGATACGATCGTGTTAACTAACATTCGTTTGTTTTCAATTTCAGGTGTGGTGCAAGGAGCACAAGGAGAATTTAATAGTAATAGAAAGATATCACTTTTTTGCTTATAGTTGCAAGCAATTTGGAGACGACCATAAATCGCATTCTCAATTAAAAAGTGACGAAAACGAGTCCGAAGGCGCATTGGCTAATAGCCTTAAAATTCTTCAACAGATCCATACTATGTTCTTTGACATGGTATTAATTTACATTTAAATTAGCTAATTTACGAGTTATTTAACAGATGAATTGTCTATTTAATTGTCTTATATAAGTAATTTACATTTAAATTAGCTTATTTAAAAGTGTCTATTTAATTGGCTTATTTTTTAAATTAATTTGCTTCAGGGGCACAAAGATAGTCTAGAGGATCGGGACCTGAGAAAGGTATATTAATTTGCGCCCGATGCCTTAGTATATATATATTGATTTGTTTCGTTTGTAATTGTTAGTAACTATGTCGATAAGTTTGATTTTTGTTACAGGTGCTGAAAAGTGTACGAAAAGAAGTATTAAAGGGGTGTAAAGTGGTGTTTTGCGATGAAATCAGCTCGTATTCGTTAGAGTTCAGGAAAACGGCGGAGGAATTGGGTGCCGAATTGTGCGATGAAACAGAGGCATGTGTTACACATGTGGTTTCTATTGATTTACGAGATGATAAATCGATTTGGGCTATGAAAGAGAAGAAGTTCTTGGTAACTCCGAACTGGATACGAGTGTCCAATCATATGTGTCGAAAGCAGCTTGAAGAAAATTTCTCCGTTCCTCCGCCGGACAAATAATTTTTTGGTTCTGAATAAGGAGGCTAGTTTTATGAATAGATTGCATCAATTTATGTAATTAGTATTTTCTTTACAATTATAGTAGCAATTTTTTCTCACTCAATTTTTTTAGTGTTTAGAGATACATTTACTAGATGAAATGGGAATTTCTTACTTTTGAATGATTGTTAAACAATGATAAGTGTTCATTTTGCACAACTTTTACTTATCGAATCTTCGAGTTTTGGTCTTCGTTCGTTCGAGTTTTCGGCTTTATTTGTATATATTATGTTATTTTTGTTTTATTTATATTTTAGGTAAAGAGAAGCTATTTTTGCCGATTCGAAACGATTTTGGAAGCGAAGCCGAAAATCAAACCAAACACGTGCAAAAGTGCATTATCGCGGGTGTGGCACTGTTTCGTATTTCAAGCATAACGTTTTCATACCACCTCCGATTTAGCTGATTCAAGTGGCCTTAGAAAGCTAACTTCAATATCTACAACTTTTGTGAAATGCAAAATTGTCAAATTCGGGCTAAAAAAGGGTCAAAACAGTGTTTGAAGATGGCGCAGAAGCCCAGATCGCGATCCAGCCTTTTCGGATCGCGATCTGGGGGGTCTTACAGAGAGCAAATTGGGGTCAAATCCAGATCGCGATCCGGGAAGTTGGATCGCGATCTGGGGGGTCTGACAGAGCTGAAATGGATCAAGACCCAGATCGCGATCCAGCATTCCGGATCGTGATCTGGGGGTCTTACAGAGCTGAAATGATTAAAGATTCAGATCGCGATCCAGGAAGTCGCATCGCGATCTGGGCACGCCTTTTGAGGAAGATATTTTGTTTTGCAAAGCTTCTTGAGGAAGCTTTGCATTTCACTATAAATAGAAAGTCCCTTTCATTCTTCATCTTCTTCCTTCGACTTCTTCTTCGACTTTTTATGGTTTTCGACAGTTCTTCGCGGGAAGCTTCGACGAGGGTTTCGACTCGGGTTTTTCATAAGCTTTTCTTTACGTTTAGTTTATAATTTCTCGTGTTCTTCATTTTGATGCTATGTTTGTAATGAACTAAGCATTTTCTTCTAGGGAAATGAAACCTTGTATATATTGATTTTGATTTCCAGATCTGTGATCTATTTGTCGTTCTTTGATTATGTTTATGTTTTCCTGTATTAAATGCTTTCGATTGTTTGGTCAACAGTTGAATTGATTCTAAATGGGAATGAACTCGAGAGAGGATTTCTTGTTTGATTTTAGGAAAATATAGCTCGGGTTGTGGAAACGGAGACGTGATGCACCTCGGGTAGCCCTTAAGGACTTGACCAAAATGCTCTCTTAATATCAGGTTCTGAACGGAGACGTCGGAGCTGTGGGTAGACTCTAACTACACTGGAGATGGGGGTTAGGGTATTTTAGTGTCTGGGTTAGCGAACATAGAATTGACATTAGATTCAAATCTGTAGATCTTTATCGATAGTACACTGGTGGATTTTACCCTAGAAGCCATCACACGTCGAAATTCCTCGCTTTTACTGGCGGACCGTTGTTTTTTATTTATTGTTTATTTTTTAGTTTTATTTCTCCCATCCATTCTCGTTCGTCTAGATAAAGTTTAGGATAGTATAATTACGGTACTTGGTAAATTTAGGAACTTAATTCCCTGTGGATCGATATCTGGAATTCACTATTCTACAAAACGCGATACTGTACACTTGCGGTTTTTCATACGTAGTTTTTACGCGTATCAAACAACTATGTAGCACGGATACGAAAACGGTGATACAGCAAAACGGACACGGGGAAACGACATATCCTAAAAATGGGGATACGGGAAATTCGAAAAAATATGTAAATATTAAAGTTATAGGGGTATATTTATAAATATGCTTATAAACATATATATAAGTTTTTATTTCTATATAATTTCTTTTGTATATATTTTCATGCAAACATATTCAAGATAAATTTTACTATCAACTATCAATTTTCAATTGATCAATAAATAGTTAGGAATGTAACAAAAATATTTGAAACTTTGATATTCAAACATGTTTTCATACTGTAAGTTAAATTCGGCTTTCTAATCTATACGTTGCTCCCATATATATTATGGATTCTAATGTTGTTGGGGACGGGGATCTTAAATTCCGTAGTCTATTTAAAAATAGAAAAACTTGGATGATTATAAATTTCATACTGCAAGTTGAATTTGACTTTTAATTTCTATGTTGCTATCATCTATAGTAATGGTTTTTTTGTTGCTGGGGATGATGATCTCAAATTCTTTAGTTTATCTAAAAAAAGAGTTATTGCATTCAAAACTACTTTATTTTTATTTTTATTTTTATTGTTAAAAAATTCTTTAGTTTATTTTATTATATCCCTATAGTTTGTTTTTTTTTTTTTTTATCTATAAAACTATAAAAGTGAGAATGTGAAGAGGGTTTCTTCTATTTTTTGATGGACAAATTAGCCTTGGGAAATTAAGTTTGTAAAATAATTCAGTGAATAGAAATTAATTAGCTAGCATGAACATGAAGAAAGTAAGCAGCGTGGTGGTATTTTGTTGAATTCAAGGGTACAGAAAGAACGCCTCTCTTTAAAAAAATTAAAAAAAAAAAAAAAAAAAAAAGAAAAAGAAAAAGAAAGAACACCTCTCACTTAATGAGAATTCAATAAACTATCATTTAAGTGGCTACTTAGAGTGTATATAGGGGAAGAAAGTCTTATAGGATTGAGTAAAATTTCATGTAAATAGGGACATAACAAGAAAAAGAAAAATACTATTAAAACTACAATTCTTAAAGCAACTCCAATGGAGTTATTAAATGAGTTATCAAATCTCTTAACTACCATTTGACTACTAAAATTTAAAAATTTGTTCTCCAAAGGGGTTATTAAAATGGGTTTGTATTTTGATATTTCACATCTTTGAATCTAAAAATACTTCCTGCAGATTGAGTTACCAAAAAAATAACTACCTAACCAACCAATCACAAATTGACATGTGGCAATTACATATAAAATTATCAAAAAACTTCCAATTGATAATGAAATTTGATTACCGTGGTTGGAGTATATGAATTTTAAATGTATTTTAAAATATTATCTTAAATATCAAATGAGCATTTGATAATCCAATTTTGATATTTAGCATTGGAGTTGCTCTTAGAGCGTATTATTCGATTTCAAAGCAACTCCACGTGGCTACAATTCAAGATCTTATAGGATTGAGTGAAATTTCTTACATTGAGTTGATAATTAAAGGCTCGATTTAGATCAATTGTACTACTTGCATTTAATCATATTTCATATGTTGAAGTAGATTCATCTAATTATTTAATCATAAAATTATTTTCCTATTATTTAAAGAAAGCCTTAAAAAAATATTTACAATCCATGTGAATATTCTTGAAAGAAGCTAGTACATTATTCGAGTTGCATATATACACTATGGGCGAGCGCATGTATGCCTTAGAAATG